CATCTTTGCAATCGAAGACTTTCAAGAGAGAAGACAAGTTCAATCGTCATTGCCCAGAATTGAGTCAAAGGGAGACATTCAAGCCGGGCGGAGGGATTAACCTGACGGACCTTCCCTGACAGCACCGGCCTGCATTGTCAAGTGCCGGACACATCCCACCCGGCGCACCAGCAGGCACGAGCAGGCTCGGTCAGGCGGCGGAGGCAGAGGAGCCGCCTCCCGGACGCTCCCTGCAGCTCCTGAGCGCTGACGCGGGCCGCCGGTGCCCGGACCCTCCTCGGGCTCCGCAGGCCCCTCAGTGTACCTCTCCCTCGCGCGGCCCGAAGCGTGGATTGTAGATGAAGAAGCTCAACAGCGCCGGCGGGAACTGCTTTTCCTGGGCCGCCCAAGTCCCCGTCCCGGCCGCCGCAGCCATTCCGGCCCGGCCCCCACGTCGGGAGCGTCCCCTCCGCCCGCTCGGAGACAGCAGCCTTCGGGAGCACCGCACTTCCGCCTCCCTAGCCGTCGGCCCGGAAGAGATCGCTACTGACCCTGAAGAACAACCTGCGTCCCCGCGTTCATCTCTGCTAAATCCGGGTAGACCCGCTTCCCGCGTGTTTCATGGACTGTGATGTATCTTATTTTATTGGCTCGTCGATATCTGTCATGGCTAAAGGCGAAGACCATGAGTTTCGAGAGAAATGTAACAATGGATGGGTTTGTTTGTTTGTTTGTTTGTTTGTTTAAGGCAGCATTTCACTGTGTAGCCATGGCTGGCCTGAAACTCACAGTGATCCTCCTGCCTCTGCCTCCTGAGTGCTAGCATTAAAAGGTGTGCGCCATTGATACAATAGTTTTGAAGTGTGAAAAAGCGTTTAGCATGGCACATGCATGTGTTTAGAAGTTTCCCCATTTTCATCTGTTATTTTTTGATATCTGTTTCTACCATGGGGAGAGGTATGTCATGGCACACAGAGGACAGCTTGTTGAAGTCACTTTTCCCCTTCAGCATCACATAATCTGGGTGTGATGGTGCGTGCCTGTAATCCAGCACCGATGAGGAGGTGGTAGCAGGATCAAATGGCAACTCTATATTAGTGGTAATCAATGGGCTAATAAAGGCAAAAATGTCAAAATATACCTTACCATAGAACTGGAGAGAAGGCACTTGCTGCTTTTATAGAGGACCTGGGTTTAGTTCCAAGCACCCCCATCAGGCAGCTTATAACCAACCCCCTGTAACTCCAGCTCCAGGGGATCTGATGCCCTCTTCTGGCCTCCATGGGTACCAGCACGAATGTGGTATACATATACCTATAAAATAAATAAATAAATCCTTTTTTTTTAAAAAATCTACCCTACCACCAACATAATAAAGCTGTTAACCACCCCCCCTTGGACCAAGTGAAAACATGTAAATCTATCGCCTTCTTGGTGAATAAATTAACAGGCCAAGTGTAAACTATCCTGTCGATTCTGATTTCATCAGTCTTCTTGTGTGTTTGTGAAGTAATCCCATACCCTAACAGTTGCAGACGAGATACGGGGTAGGTTTTTTGCTTGAAATTGGATTCGTGAGTGCTCGTTTTCACCACACTAAATTGTAGTTGACACATAACTATGTAAACAAGCAGATGGACAGGTATGCCCCACCATTGCTCCATTTCCATTTTAATACAGGAAGGTATGGGTTAGCTAGGCATGACGCACAGGCCAATAATTGCATCTGGGATGTGGAAAATATAGGCTAGCCAGCCTATGCTGCATTATGAGACCCTGTCTCACAAAAGATTTTGTTGATGTTTCTTTAAATAGACAAAACAGGGTCTCAAATAGCCCAGCCTGGCCTCCAAATCACTGTGTAGTCAAGAATGGCCCTGAATTCCCGATCCTCCTGTTTTCACTTACCAAATTCTGTTTTGTTTTGTTTTTAGCTTGAAACTGGAGTTACAGACAGTTGTGACCTGCCATGTGGGTGCTGGGAATTGAGCCCAGTCCTCTGGAAGAGCAGCCAGTGTTCTTAACTGCTGAGCCACCTCTTCAGCCCCTGCCTTCCAAATTCTGGGATTGCCACTGTGTACCCCCAGTCTCAGTAATTCTGAGTCTCAACTGTAAACCATTCACAAAGCTGGCTTTGATGTCACACCCATTAAATTCCAAAACTTCACCAAACTACAAGCCAAGATTTTAGTTAGGTTAAAAAAAAAAAAAAGAATTTCAAATCAAAGCCACTGTTGCAGCCTTATTTTATAAACAAGCAAGCAAAAAAAGAAAACAGAACAAGACACTTGGTTTTTCAGATCTGAAAAATATATTGCAATCTAGATCTTCATTTTAAAGTCAAATATTCAACTCTGTTGAGAACATATTTTGTTGCTCATCTGAGGAGTAGGTGAAAATATCAAAGGCAAGCATGAAAATAAAGCTTCCTGTAAGCTTGGTTAGCCCTTTTCTGATCTGATAGACTTTGTTAAAGTTCTCCTGTTTTGATTTGTTCCCTCAGTATGTAGAACTATTAGTAAGTCAAAACTGAGTAGAAAGAGAAATTTATGCAGGACATGCCTGTGTGTGTGTGAGTGAGGGTGTGTTCATGCCACAGTAGTGCATGGAGGTCAGCGGGCAACTTCAGTCCATCTTGTTTGAGACAGGTTCTTTGTTGTTTGGATGATGCACACAATAGGCTAGATGGTACACAAGTGTCTGGGGATTCTCCTGGTCTAACTGCACAGCAGATGCTTTTACCTGATCAACCATCTTCTTAGTCCCTCATTGCTTTTTGTTTTGTTTTTTGTTTGTTTGTTTGTTTTTTGAGACAGGGTTCTTTGGAGCCTGTCTTTCTTCTAAATAAAGCCTGTGAGACTAAGTTCCTAAAATCAAATTTGAAGATTATATATGCAGAGTATTTGGGGTGAGGGTTGTTTGCTATAGCTTTGGGATTTTGTTTGTTTGTTTGTTTGAGTCAGGACCTCAACTATGTAGCCCTAGCTGGCCTGGAATTCTCTATGTAGACTATGTTGGCCTTAAATTCACAGAGCCTCACCTGCCTCTGCCTCTCCAGTCCTGGGATTAAAGAGGTTTAAATACCCAGGTAGTCTATTTAGCATATGGGAGGCAGCAGAGAAGGGCCCCAGAAGATGTTAAGTATGGACATTGGTTAAAAGTATGAGATCCTGGGGCTGGAGAGATGGTTCAATGGGTAAAATGAGGACCTGAGTTCAGATTCCCAGCATCCAAGCAAACAATTGAGCAAAGCATCATGTGCTGTAATCCCAGCACTGAGAAGCCAGACATGGACAGGCTTGCCGCCCAGCCTAGCCTAGCTGTATCAGCCCCAAGTCCAAGCAAGACATTATCTCAGAAAATAAGGTGGAGTGAGATTGAGTAAGACATCTGGCATGGATCCCTGGCTTCCACAAACATGTGCACTCTTACATATGCATGCATACACCACACACAGGTGTGGGTACACGTGTACACACACACACACACACACACACACACACACACACACACACTGTGAGCTGTTAAACAAGCTCCTTGGAAAATGTTCCAGGACTCTCAGGTGTCCTCAACTCTTGGGGTTAGCCAGAGAACAGCTTTAGGTGCCACTTGGAAAGCAGCCTAATGAGAAATTCCTGGCTTGAGATTCCCCAACACAGTAACAGGACCCTTGAGGTTCGCCTCGTATGGTGTTGCCTCTTATCAGACAGGAAAAATGGTGGCCGAGAAGTGGGTAGGGTTCATGCTACGGAAAACTAACCTGAGTGCTTGTTTCTCTGGGAGGAAAAAGCCAAAACAACTTCAAAATGAGTCTGTTGTGTTAAGCGAGCACTCTAAGCTTCATACCTGGTTCAGCTGCTCCGCCTTCCCGTGCTTGGTTGTATTTAACTCTCTCTTAGAGCAACCTCATACCCACCAGCAGAAAACAAATGTGTAAGAGTCATTTTTAAATTAACATTTATTTATTGGCAGGGCAGGGCACTGTGCCACAGCATGACTTCAGAGGTCAGAGGATAACTCTCAGGAGTTTATCTCTCTCCTTCCACCCTGTGTGTCCTGGAGGTCGAACTCAGGTCATCAGGCTTGGTGGCAAGTGTCTTTTCTGGCTGAGAAAAGATGTAGCCCTAGTCAAGCACCATACGTAGCTAAAGCTGGTGTTGAACTTCTGATCCTATTGCCTCCATCGCCTGAGCATTGGGATTGCAGATGTGTACCACTGTGTCTGGCTCATGTAAGGTTGATTTTTATGCTGGCTAAAGTATCTCTGAAAATATTAATTTCAGAGTTAGCTAGATTGCTGAGAATAAAATTCTGAGCAGGACAGTAATACTTATTTGCAACGCTTACATGTTTTTAAAACCAGATTCCAAAATAAAACAAACAAGCAAAAGCAATTCTTCTGTCCCCTCATGTGTGGCTTACTGGGTGTTTGAGGGCACTTGAGATCTTTGACAAACCCTTGATCCCTGCTTGCTTTGGTCCCACTCACTACTCTTTGTAGCTAGGTATGGGGGTGCACGTCTTTAATCCTTTCTACCTCTGAGGAAGTAGAGCAGGTGGATGTTTATGAAGCTGGGGCCAGCATGGTCTCTCATAGGGAGCTCCAGACCAGCCAAGGCTAAATTTTGAAACCCTATTACAAAATAAAACAAAATTAGTATTGTCAGCTTGGCAGGACTTCAAATCACTATGGAAACAAACCTCTGGGCATGTCTGTGAGGAATTGTCTAGACCTGGGTTAATTGAAGTGGGAAGATCCACCATAAATGGGGCTGGGGTTCTGGACCAAAGAAAAAGGAGAAAGTGAGCTTTCTCTTTGCTTCCTGCCCAAAGATGTGATGTGACCAGCCATCTCATTCACCTGCCAGCACTGATGGACTGTCCCTTCCAACTGTGAGCCACAGTAAGTCTGTCCTTCCTTAAGTTGCTTTTGTCAGACATTTTGTCACAGCATGGAGACAAGTAACCAATACACCCATACATCAGCCAATGATGAGAAATTATTTTATTGAGTGATTTTTTTAAAAGGCATTGCCTGCCATGGGGAACTTATAGAACTCATCAGAACCTACCCATCACCACCAAAGAATGAAGAGCCACAGACCACTGCATTCCTTCAAATAAGGAGCACATTGCAGAAGTCCTTCAGGGGAACTCAGGAAATTAGTTCGGGATAGGTTGGGGGGCTTCCTGGTCCCAGGGCTTTGGAGACCTTCTGGCAGAATGCTCCTTCCACTCTTTCTTCCATAGACATAGTATTTAAGAATGCACCATTTCCTGGAATTCTAGAATGGAAGAGGAAAGTGTTTGTCCCCCAGAGAAATCTGAAGAGAGGGGAAAAAAAGATTAAATAAATTCTCAGAGAAGCATGGCCCCATTCAGGACATGCCTGGGAGACTCCATGAGCATCAGTGAGCATCAGGGGAGTTTGCAGCATCCTTTCCAGCCTTCTGAATTACTTTTTAGGTAGGGTTTCCCCTGGCAGCTTCAGTTGGTCTCAAATTGATTATTCTCCTGCCTCAGTCTCCAAAGTGCTGGTATTGCAGGTGTTTTCCAAATGTCTATCTTTCTGTACATAACTTTTGAGACATTCTAATATAGATCACTGGTCTCAAACTTTCTAGATAGCCAAGGATGATCTTGAACTCCTGCCTCGTTATCCTCCTGCCTCCACATCCCAGGTGTGGAATTTCAGGCCTGTGCAACAACATGCACTGTTTTCTCTGCATAGGCTATGTGTGTGCCTGTGTGTGGATGCACATGTGTTTACATGGGTGGAAGCCAACAGTTGACATCAGGAGTCTTCCTCAATTGCTCTCCACCTTATGTATTGACATAGGGTCTCTCACTTGAACCAAGAACTCACTGATCCATCTACTCTAGCTTGCCAAGGATCCAGGGATCCCCTGTCTTCACTTCTCAAGTGAGGCCTGAGGTTGTAGGTAGGTGACCTAGATCTCCAAGTATTTACATTCATTCCCAGAATTGGAACTTTGGTCCTTAAACTTGCATGGCAGATGCTTTAGACCTGCTGAGCCATGATATCCCAGCCCCGTGCATATTGTATTCAATAAATATCTTCATATCTTCAGCCCCTTGGGTTAGAGATCAACTCAGTCATCTTTCTCCAGCAATGAAGGAATTTGGTATAATTGTTCACTGTAAACACGTGGTGTGTTGTCTGGTTCATTTCAGATAAACATGGGAGGTTTTCCTTCACTGTTCTGTAGCTGTATGATTCTACAGAGTAGAGCTTTAAACAGATTTTCCTCCACTGAACCCTAACCTTAGCCTTCTTCCAATGTTTATATTACTAAAAGAAAGATACTTGTGTAGTTGTGATCTGATAATCTTTTGTGTGTGAGAGAATGGAGAGAGAGAGAGAGAGAGAGAGAGAGAGAGAGAGAAAGAGGAGAGAGAGAGGAAGGGTGGGAGGGACAGGGAGAGAGAGAGAACCCACAGAAGCCAGAGAAGGATGGTGGGTGTCCTGCTCTATCACTCTGCACCTTATTCCCTTGAGACAGGGTCTCTCACTGAACCTGGAGCTAGACTCAAAGACAGCAAGCCGAAATGATTTCCCTATCTCCATGTCAGACAGCACTGGGGTTACAGGTTTGTTCGTGGCCAAGCCTAGCTTTTTACATGAGCATTGGGGTCCAATTACAGGTCCTCATGTCTATGCACCAAGCCTTCTTACCTGCCTGGTATCTCTCAAACCCTGACATTAGTAAACTGTGGCTGGTGCCGTGGAGTTGAAAATGAAGACTTACTTCATATCGGCTGGTCCAACTTTTATCTCTGCAGAATCTTTCAGGGTTGTGGCTTTTTGTAAATTAGCATTTCAAATTTGAGAAAGGGTCTTACTTCCATAACTAAAGCTAGCCCAGAATTCATAATATAGCCCTGATTCAAACTCCACAGCTTGCCAAATGGTGGTATTACACACATGTGCCACCAAGCTGGGCTTCGTGGGTAGGTTTGGATACATCAAGCCTCCTTTGTCTGAGCTGTTTTACCTAGGTCCTATAAAAGCTTTGTGAACTCATGTGGTAAATTATAATAATAAATTTCAGCAAGGATCTAAGGTTGGACATGTGACATATGCCAGCAAATCACTGAACCAGGGAGGTGGTAGCAGGAGAATCAGGAATTCAAAGTCAGCTCTAGCTACATATGAAGTTCAAGGCCAGCCAGGGCTGTACATGAGACCCTGCCCCAAACAAACAAATGTACTTTAGCATTTTCAGTTTCTCTAATTAATGCCACAAGCGGGATGCCCCTATACCATCATCCGAATCATTGCCTAAACAGAAATGTAAGTGGCTTGACAAAATCAAGCATAAACAATCTTATGACATTTGAATCTAGGGCTATGCACATAGATGACACCATGAGCTGTAGTTGGCTTATTTGTCCTTTATTATCCCTGGTGGTGGTGGTGGTGGTGTGTGTGTGTGTGTGTGTGTGTGTGTAAGTGCCCATGCATGTGTGCACACATGAGCATGTAGAGGCTAGAAGTTAACATCATTGTTGCCTTCAATTGCTCTAATTGCTCTTCCCTTTATTTCTTGAGACAGGGTCTTTCATAAAAACTGATTTGGCTAGGGTGGGTGGTGAGTAGTTCCCCGAGGATCTGCCTGTCCCCATGCTTCCCCTTCACCAGGCACTATGATCACTGATGCATGCCATCATGCCCAGCTTTTAACACAGCTGATGGTGATCTGAACTCGGGTCCTAACATTTGTGCAGCAAACACTATTGACAGAGCCACCCCCCCAGCCCTGGTCCTCTGTTTAATACTGCCACTGATGGGCAGTAAACTGTCTTTGCTTAAATCCTGGCATACATCTCTTGCATTATTTTCAAACCAGACTAAAGCACCTTGCAAAGTGGTTTGGAAGGCCAAGTAATCAGCTAGTTCCTTCATCAGGGGATCTATTTTTTCTAAGTTCATACTTAGTGACTAATTCATAGTTATGTTGTATCATGTAACACAGAAAAGTGTGTGTGTGTGTGTGTGTGTGTGTGTGTGTGTGTGGAGTCAGAGCCTCACTCTGTAACCCTTGAGCTCCTTATGTAGGCCAGGCTGGCCTCACACTCACTGCAATCCTCCTTCCTCAGCCTCTAATGTGCTGGAATTACAAATGTGAGCTTTTGTCTTCCAGCATTGTGTGTGCATACATGTGGAGGTCAGAGGACAGCTTTTGGAAGTTGGTTCTCCCTTCCCTCCATGTGGATGCCAGGGAATGAACTCAGGTCACCTGAATTAGCAGCAAGAGCCTTTTCTCACTGAGCCGCCTCATCATCAGTATCCTAAAATCTGTGTGTACTGGGTGGGGGTCAGTGCTACAGACCAAATCCAGACATGCTAAGCACATGCTGGACCTGTGAGCTACATCCCCAGTGGTACCACATGCTTATGCACAGCTGGCATGCTTGCCCCATCCCATTTTGCAGGTGAGAAGACTGAATTCATCAGAACTCAGAAAAGGGGTTTAGCCCAGAAACCCCCTCTGCAGATATGTCTTACACTACAAGTGTGAACAGACCTACCATCTGCCCCAATCTTCCCGTCTCCATCGTTGTCTGCTGCAGCCATCAAGGACTTGGTCTCTGACTCAGTCAGCTCCCTAGCATCACTCTGGAACTTCTGGAGGAAAAACCTATAGCACCACAAAAGGCTGGTGGCAAGTTCCTGAGAGATCTTGTGCTCTTTGCCCCTCCCTCCCTCTCTCTTCCCCCTCCTTCCCTTCCTCCCCATCCCCTGTCCCCTTCCTCTTCCCTCCAGTCCATGTATCTGACAGCCACAAACATCAGTCACAGCCTAGATGGCAGGGGCTCCCTTTTGCCATAGAAACCAATGCCAGGTGTCTATTTTTAAGAGTTCTGTTAAGTTTCATTTGCCATAGGAAATCCCCTGAACAAATCGCTCTTTGTACCCAGTCTTCAGTGTCACATTTAGTGCCCCATGCAGTTAGAGTGTGGCCAGTTTACATTCTTTAATGAAATGTAGATGAATACCCAATGCCAGAGCTGGCCATAGAGAAAGTTCTGAGCACACAGGGGGTTCTGTGCACCCCAGCCCCATCCATCCATGTCGAATCGCTCAACACAGCTTACTTGAGCTCATCTTCATCCAAGTACCCACTCTGGTCATTGTCTATGAACCGGAAGACATCCTTCACTTGGGTGGCAGACATCTTGGAGAGGCCTGATGTCTGGAAGAACTTTTGTGGTTCAAAAGTGTCTGGGTCTAAAGAATAGACAGGTTATCCTGACTCTCAGTGGGTCACATTCTGGATTTGTGCCCCGGTGACAAAAGTATAGGCTATTAATATACTTTCCTATTGTCACTCAGCTACATGGATACTTGACATTCCCAGGACTCAGGGAGCCAAGACTAGGTGAGACTAGGTGGTCTGTGATGCCACTGTGCCCCCCTGCCCTGGGTTTCCCTCTCCACTTGATTTTGCACATTCCTTCCTGGCTATGCTCTGTGCCTTCCCCTGTCTCTCCTCACCCAACAAGCTGCACACAAAGTCCACAGTACCGGGTGTGATTGGTGGAAAACAGTGAATCCAAACAGGCTCGAGAGAATAAGTATGCTGACTTACTCTTGTTTGACTAACTCAGGCTGATGCTAGAATTGAGCTCCCTATGTAGCCAGGAATGATCTTGAACTCCTGATCCTCCCGCCTCCATCTCCCTAGTGTGAAGAATACAGGTATATATCACCTGTCTCTGCGATGCTGGGGACAGGACCCAGGCCTTCGCACGTGCTAGGCAGGCACTCTATCAACTGAGCTGCAGACACTGGCAGTACAGGCTGCCCTGGAACATGATTTCCTCCTCCTGCAGCTCTGAGAGTGCCACCACCCCTCCCCTCCCTCCGCCAGGCCCTCCCCCTCACCTTGGCATTCCTGCAGGGCTGCCGCGATGTCGTCAGCACTAAGCACATCCGTGATGCTCATTTTCCACCTGCTCGCACGGAATAAATGAGATGTGAGTAATGGTCACAGAGAAAATGGGCATCTGGGAAGAACACACATTCTCTGCCACCGAGTGTATTTCTGGAATTTTAAAATGTGACAAGCACACAATAAGTGATGGGACAGAATACCCTGTCAAACCCAGATACAGAAAATACTTCCAACACTCTTTTCTGCATGGTTTCTCCTGAATTCACTCCAAAATTGAAGTTTTGTTTTGTTTTTAAAAGAAGATCAAGCTGGGCTTGGTGTGCACACCCGTAATCCCAGTACGCAGGAGGTAGGAGGATCAAGAGTTTCAAGGGCATCCTTGACTACATAATGGATTCCAACCCAGCCTGAGCTACATGGCCCAGTCTGTAAATAATCTAAAGCCAAATAAAAGTTATTTTCTTAAGGGCCAATCTTCTAAACATTATACTTACCTAGCCAATCAGCATAGGCAGCTACAAGATATTTAAAAATTAAGCAAGTTATAACACAACAGCTTTGTCATGCATCAGCCAGAGAATTGCAATACTGGGAAGGACTAGCCCATACAGCAGAGACAGTCCCTCCCTGACCCCCGCCCCCATGTGCCATCCAAGTTTACAAGAAAAGAATTCTGAGTAGAAAGCCTACAAGTCTAATATAGTGCGTGCAAGGAAGGAGATCTTGGGGTCTGATGGGCCCCCCAGCTACTCACCAATTTAGGTTTAAAATCAAGATCGGGGAAAGAGTTGTAGGAACAATGGGAAAACAACCCAGCTGGGCTTTCACTACTTTATATAGGGTTGAAACTGTGAAGGTGCAGCCTCTTAGATTTCATGCTCAAGGATCAAGTGTGTGTAGCTCAAGTGTCTCTACCTTAGTAATGAAACCGTGCACACTCCCTTTCTCTTTTCTATTTATAGAAGTGGGTAGGAACAGCCAATTAAGAGAAAAAGAAACCTCAACAAACCTTAACTAAGGCTTCAGTTCTGTAAACAAAGCTAGTTGGTGAAGTGGTACTGGAGGCTTGGGGGGGGGGCGCTCTGTGAACTGAAGACTCCCCAGATGTTGGTGGCTGCTGTTTAGGAAGATCTGTCTTCAGTGTATGCGTGCTTATGTGTGAGGTTGTCATCCAAAGTCAGTGTCACCAAGGCCTCAGTTACATAATTTTCTTTATAGTTTCATTTCTTTTTATTTGTATTTTTTTGTTTGTTTGTTTGTTTGTTTTTCCAGACAAGGTTTCTCTGTGTAATAGCTCTGTTTGTCCTAGAATTCACTCTGTAGACCAGGCTGGCCTTGAACTCAAAGATCTGTCTGTCTGCCTCTGCCTCTTGGGTGCTGGGATTAAAAGTGTGTGCCACCATCGCTGGGCACATAATTTTCCTGCCAGGCTGACCACAAACTCACAGGTACCTAAGAACCACACAGAATGTCTGACCCTCTTGCCTCTACCTCCAGAGTGGGGGCTGGGATTCTAGTGTTTCCTACCATGCAGTGCTGAGGGTGGAAATCTGGGGCTTCCTGCCAGCTAGCAAGTGCTGCACCAACTGAGGCCCATTCCCAGACCCAACAGTTTTCCTTTTTGAAATGCTATTTTTCCGTATTTCCCCAGACAGGCTGGAAGTCCTGCCTCAGCTTCCTAAGCCATTAGAATTACAGCTCCACTTTCTTAACCGTGTGTGTGTGTGTGTGTGTGTGTGTGTGTGTGTGTTTACATATTTGTGTGTGTACACACCTGTGTAGACAGGTCAATGTCCAGTATCTTTCTCAGTTGCACTCCGCTTTCTTTTTTGAATCTCTCAGTGAACCTAGAGCCCTAGAACTTAGCCAGCCTGCTTGGCCGACAGGGATCAATGTGGCTCCATCTCCTCAGTGCTGAGGGTTAGAAGTGTGTCGACACACCCAGCTTTTTGATGTAGGTTCTTGTTCACCTGCTGAGCCCTCTCCCCAGCCTCCTCCCTTCTTTGAGTTGTGCATACAGGACAGTAGAGTCAGCCGTATGCATTGTGGAATAGAACTGAGTGACTTGTTCATTCTGAAGAACTGGAGTTGTAGTTATTGGACTTGGGCCCTCCTGCCTCAGCCTTCTGGGTAGTTAGAATTATAGGCCTGTAGCACCAAACCCACCTTGATGTCTCCTTCTTCTTAAATACGGGCTTCAGTACATTTATTATATTGAATAATATTGTTGTACCCAAGTCAGAAGGATCCCCAAAGACCACCCGGGAGAGACAGACCCACTGATGAAATGCATAAAGTTTATTGTTCATCCGGCCATGGCAGGATGCCTAGCTGGCTGACGCAGCAACCACCAGAGGAAGCGAGTTCCCTGTCTACTGTCATGTTTTTAAAGACAAAAATTACAGGATTCCATCAGTAGGTACAGGTGGGTTTCTGATTGGTTGACATTTGGGGAACAATCAGGGGAATTTCTCAAAGTCATATTTTGGCATGAAATACCTGCGTACCAATTGTTCTCATTGGTCAGTGCTGAGGGAACATTCTGTGGTTTCTATGGCTTTGTCTTGTTACTTGCAGGTGGCCTGTTGTTCATACATACCAATAGTTTTCAGAACTGTATCCTAGAGACTACAGGGGAGGTTTTCATCTCCCCTGGAGTTTCTTTTATGGCCAAACATTTCCCAGGAACCAAGTATCTATAGGGGTGCCTGGAGTTTCTTTGTATTTAGTTTTGGCTCTAGGCTCTGGCAGACCAGAGTTTCTTGGTGTCATGTGCTTCTGTAACCTGTTATGGTTGCAAAGCAGGGGACTGAGTGAGGGTCTGGTTCCTTTATTCCTCTTTAGTATAAATAAGAGTTAAATGGGAACTTAAGGCTTTGTCATGTTTATATAATTTTTCCCAGTGTGAATTATTAGAGGTGAAGCCTTTAATTTTAGTTTACTCCTTTCAAATATGTTTCTTTTCATTGGATGTGTATGGGTGTTTTGCCTGTGTGTGTATCATTACGCCAGAAGAATGCATTGAATTCCTTGGAACTGAAGTTATAGACAGTTGTGAGTCACCATGTGGGTGCTGGGAACCGAACCTGGGTCTTCTGCAAAAGTAGCCAGTGCTCTTAACCACGAAGCCATCTCTCCAGGCCCCCTTCTGGGTTTTTGCCCAGGCTGGCCTCTTTAGCGCTTGACTACCATCGTGTGCTGCCGTGGTCAGCGATTTTTCTGACAGAAGGTGAAGATAATGGCTGGACACTGTGGTACATAGCTGTGATCCTAACATGCAGGAGGCTGAGATAGGCGGTACAGCTTGGGGTACACATTAAGAGCCTGTCTCATTAAAACAAGGAGAGGTCTGAAGGAAAGTTCAGGCGGTGGAGTGTTTCCTTCACAAGCAAGAAGAACTGATGTGATCCCGAGAACCCACGGTGGCACACCCTTGTAACCTCAGTGCTGGGGAAGCACAGTTAGGGGGACCCCTGGGGCTCACTGACCAGACAGTTCACCTACCCTGTAAGTTCAAGGCAAGTGAGGGATCCGTCTCACAAACACCCGAGGTTTTATTGTTTGGCCTTTGGCTCCATATACACAAAGAAAAGAAGAGAGACACAGAGGCCCCTTAGAAGTGGGGACATCCGTGTGGCTGGTTTAGAGCGTGTAGTATTTGGCCTATCTTTGTTGGTCTTGAGTTGGGCATTAATTAGGGAGTAAATGTGGTCCTGAGTGTATGTGCAATGTTTGACATGGGCCATGGCCAATATCAAGGGCCAATGCCTCAGCCCCATGGGAGCGGCAACGCCTTCCCCAGGTGAGGCTCAGGGATTGCAAAGCCTTCCTCTGCTCTGAGGGCAAATGTTGACAGTATGCGCAGAAAATGCCCTGAAGAGCTTTCTCCTCAGGATGTTTGTGTACTGAAGACTGCTCCTCTACAGAGAGAGCCTCTACCGGATTAGCTAAACCTGCCCCCTTATTCAGCTGTAAACAATAACCCCAACTCCCTGTTTATCTAGATTAATAATCCTGCCTCCCTGTTCATCTGTATGTAATAACCCTGCCTCCCTGTTTATCTGCATGTAATAACCATGCCTCTCTGTTCATCTGTATGTAATGACCCTACTTTCCTCTGTATACAATAGCCCCACCTCCCTATTCGACAGTTTATAATAAACATGCTAACTACTGAGTTGCAGAGGCTTCTTCACCCAAGAGCCCAGACCATCCAATCCCAGCTTTTCTGTCTGTGTGTCTGTCATTTCTTCATTCCCTAGTCACCTCTAGTCAGGGATCCAGGACCCAAGCTGTGCAAGAATGAAGCACATTGTGACAAAAATTAAGGACACTATCAGTGACTAATCAAGTCCTGTCTATTTGGGGCCAACTGTTACAAAGGTTCCTATTTTCAGTCCTGTGCTGTTTGCTAGAAACAGAGCTAGGAGAAGGGATGTAAACAGGTGGGTGCTGGATGGCCATCAGATGTAGATAAACAGGCAAAATTTGGGTTCAGTGAGGAGACACCCAAAGTTATTGTCTGGCCTCCATGTGCACTGACAAGGACACACACACACACAGACACACATATGCACGCGTGCACATGCGCACTCATGCACACACGTGGAGAGGGAGAAATGGAAAGCGGAAAGGGCCCATTTCTGTAATCCCAGCACTGGGGAGGTAGAACAGGAAGATCCCTGGGGCTCGTTGGCCAATCAGTGAGCTCCAAAGTGAGAGACCTGTAAGTGAAAAGTGATTGAGGTGGGGTATAGTGGAGAATGCCTTTAATCCCAGCATTTGGGAGGCAGAGAAAGATTGTTCTCTGTAAGTTCCAGACCAGCCAAGGATACAAAGGGGGGCCCTGTCTCAATGTGGAGGGGAGAGAGTGATTGAAAAAGATACCAATGTCTGCCTCTGGCTTCCACAAGCGCGTGCGCGCGCGCACACACACACACACACACACACACACACACACACACGTCAGTTCAGTTTGACAGACTCACTCCTAACAACATGTTTCTTAGTTACTTTTCCTGTTGTGAAAAGATACCCTAGCATATTGCTTACACA